ATCACAATATATATATGCATATATGCAATAGTTATAAAGTGATATATGGCAAAATATAATAAGCAAAAAGATTCTGTATCAAGTCACACGTGCCATCACTCACGTGATTGGCTTACTGGGCACCTATGACTAGCAGTATGGTTGCGACGACGCTCCTCAAAACCCCAGGCCTACTCTGAGGTGGAGAGGGGGAGGAGAATAGGAGAGGCAAGCAAAAGTTCTAGCCTATTAACCACTGAATCCCTCCTATTTATAGAGGTCCACTATCAACTTAACTCTAATGGATCCTCCCTATTGGGTATTGGATCTTCATCCAACTACCCAAGCCTCTTATATTAGTGGATATCTATCCAATAATCTCTCATGGGCTTTTATTGGATCTCGTTCATGGGATCCAATAATTCAGGGGCTTATTGGATATCCAATAAGATATGGGCTCTGGCGGATATCTCATATCTGAACCTTTACTCATCGCAATGCCTACCATATGTGTGTGACCCTCTAGGCCCAATATCGAGTTGGCCATGAGTCATACCTGTCATAACTCCTTCTGGCTCAATGAATTATTATCTTCATAATAATTCACTTGACTCATCAACTACGAACGTACTAAGCCACTACGCCGCAGTCCCCAAATGATATAGGGGAATCCAATCCATTGGACCTATCTATCCTTAATTACCATATACCTATAGTCCCTCATCCATCTAATATCCCAGAGACCGTATACCGGGCATGGTAATGTCAAACCCTTACGGTTTCTACTCGAGTCTTGCTCTAATCAGATTCTCCCGAAGAACTCTTTCTATCTCAATTCGAATGACCTTAGCTAAAGATTTGTCTAAGCAAGAACACATGGAATATTGCTCTCATGATACCGAGAGTGGATGATCCTCTATCGATACTCAATAGCCCTCAAAAGATTGACTACCACTCCCGGTGACCAACTGTACTAGATTTGGGACATCCAAACCTATAAGTCTGGTATCAAAGAATGAAACACTTATATAGGACATCCTTAGTATCTCAAGTCTAAGGACCAGATATACCACTAGGACTACGGAATCGCTGTCTGACAATAAGGTATCATCAACCATTCAACATTCTGTAAGCGAATCAATTAGTGAACTCATTCTCCAATGAGCACCTGTACTATATCCCTAGTGTCCCCACAAGAGCAGCTTTAAGACCAGCTGCATCCATCATATGGACGGGTATATAGCACATCAGTTTATCCGGTTATCTCGATGTCCCTCTTGAGTAACTTATGACCAGGATTATTTAGGATCTGTGTTTAAAGGCGAATCAGTCTCATTATCGTGATCTCATCACGATCCAATTCTCATTGCACAGATCTAAGGACATCACAATATATACATGCATATATGCAATAGTCAATATAAAGTGATAAATGCCAAAATATAATAAGCAAAACGACTGCTTGTCAAGTCACACATGTCATCACTCACGTGATTGGCTTACTGGGCACTTATGACTAGCATCTTGATAGTGGATGCTTAAGGCATATGATCAGAGATCCAACATACTTCTCTAAGCCCACTGGCCAAAACGAATGATTTGTCACCTTCAAAGACAGCAACAAAAAAAAATTATTGGCAAAGGAAATATAGGTAAAAAATCAAACATTTTAATTGAAGATGTGTTGTTAGTAAATAGTTTAAAATATAATCTACTAAGAATTAGTCAATTGTGTGATAAATGATATATTATCAAATTTGAATCTAATGCTTATATCATTGAAATACCACACAAAAATATACCTATGATTGCCTTAAAAAATAATAATACGTATACTATTGATATTGATAATTTTTACGATGAAACATATTTTTCGGCTTTAGACAATGATGCATAACTTTGGCATAGGAGATTAGGTCATGCTAGCATGAAACTAATCTCTCAAATTTCAACTAGAGAATGATTTGTCACCTTCGGAACAACAACAAAAGAAAAATTATTGGCAAAGAAAATATAGGTAACAAATAAAACCCTTTAATTGAAGATATGTTATTAGTATATGATTTAAAACATAATCTACTAAGCATTAGTCAATTGTATAATAAAGGATATATTATCAAATTTTAATCTAATGCTTGTATCATTGAAATACCATATAAAAATAGATCTATGATTGTCTTAAAAAATAATAATATGTATACTATTGATATTGATGATTTTTATGATGAAACATGTTTTTTGGCTTTAAACAATTATGCATGACTTTGGCATAAGAGATTAGGTCATGCTAGCATGAAATTAATCTCTCAAATTTTAATTGGAGAACTTATAAAAGGAATGTCTAGCATCAAGTTTGTCAAAGACTGATGCATGTCAATTAGGAAAATAAATAAAAAATAGTTTCAAATCAAAGAATCAAATAAGCACCTCTAGACCACTGCAATTGATCTATATGGATTTATTTGAACCAATTGATACAGAGATAGTAAATATGTCTTTGTAATTATTGATGATTATAATAGATACACTTGTACATACTTCTTGGCACATAAAAGTGATTGATTTAAATATTTTTTAAAATTTTATAAATTAATATAAAATAAAAAGGGCTTTATGATTGCCTCTATTCGAAGTAATCATAGTGGTGAATTTTAAAACCATGATTTTAAAAACTTTTATGATTCAAATAGGTATAACCATAACTTCTACACTCCAAGAAACCCTCATCAAAATGGAGTTGTTGAGAGAAAAAATAGGAGTTTACAAGAAATGACAAGAACCATGCTTAATGTGCATAGCCTACCCAAGTATTTTTAGGGTGAAGTTGTTAACACGATATGCTATGTCATGAACATGGTTCTTATAAGACTATTACTTTCCAAAACTTCCTATAAATTTTAGAAAAACAAAAGACCCAATATTTTGTTTTTTAAAGTTTTCAGTTGTAAATATTTTGTTTTAAATGAAAAAGATGCCTTGGAAAAATTTAATGCAAAATCCGATGAAAGCATTTTTCTTGGTTATTCCTCTACATCTAAAGCTTTTCATGTCTTTAATAAAAGAACTTTGGTTATAGAGAAACCTATTCATGTAGTGTTTGATAAGCTTTCTGAATTTAAGAAAAATGATTTTGATGGTGATCTTAATTTTGATATTTTAAATTTGAATAAAAACTCTCCTCTCCCAAGCAACTTGGATGCATCTTCTTCCAAAGAATCATTACCTAAAGATTGGATGTAGATACATGCTCATCCTAAGGAGCTAATCATTGGAGGTAAGTGATGCAGGACTAACTACGATTGTGATGCAGGACTTATCTAATCCATGTATTGAGATAAGTGATCCAGGACTAACTACGATTGTGAGAAAGATAAAACGATTAAAGAAGAATCAAAGTTGGGCCGGAATCAATGATCAGGTATCGGACCAGATGAATCGGGAGATACATCGAAGGATCGGATTATGTTGTGAAAACTTGCCAGAAGTTCACCGGGAGTTCATTGAAAGCTCGCCGAAAGATCACCAAGAGTGCGCTAGAAGTTCGTCGAGAGTTTGGTTGAACAATTGATGTGTCAGATAACTTAGATTACTTGTATCATAATTGTTTTAGTCTTAATTATCGTAGTTAGGATTTTAATTTGAGTTTTGAGAAAAATCATACTAACTCAATTATGGGTCAATTGAGCCTTTAATATAGCTAAATTGGGCCTATTGGATGACCCATTTAGTTACTTGAAGCCACATCAGGTGGTGGCACTGCCCAGACTGGGCGATGGTACCGCTTATGGCTCAACCACCGAGACTATGCGGTGGTACCATCGGTAATTAATGCTGTTAGACGGTGGTACCATCCTATTAGGCAGTGGTACCGTTAGAGCTCAGTCTTTGAAGTTCTATTAGGTGACAGTACCACCCAGACTAGCGATGATACCACCTAGTGTCAGTTTATAGGTGGTGGTACCATTCAGTACTAGCGGTGATATCACCCAGTACTGGCGGTGATTCTCTGAAAACCCAAATGAGATACTTTTTGACTTTATTTTTGAAGTCGTTGAGGCTTATAAATACCCGACTCTTTCCTATATAAAATAGCAACGAAAGTTGTGAACAAAAATATTGAGATTTTGGATTGTAAAATTGCTAAGTGTCCTCCTCCTCTCTTATCTAGTTGTGTGATCATTCAAGAGAGGTATGAGACTTGTAAAAAGTTATCTTCTAAGCCTATAAAAAGAAGAAAGAGTTGTAAGATAATGGTTAGTCTTCACCCGTTGAAAGAAGACTGTTAGTGGATACTAATTACCTCAACGAAGAAGAAATCGAAAGTAAATATATGTCACGACAACCGAATCACTATAAATCCGATATGATTTCTTTCTATATCATTTATTTTATGCTTTTCATTCTCATCGCCCACTAAATTACTTGCTCGCTGCCCTCAATCACTTACATTTACAACTTTATACGGTAAAGTCTCCTACCTCATCTTCTTATTGTAAATAGCAATGAAAGCACATGCCAAGCGTCCGACTGAGCCTGAACTAAAATTACCTTTTTTGTAATTATTTAATTAAAATTAATATATATATATATATATATATATATATATATATATACATATATATATATATATATATATATATATATATATATATACATATATATATATATATATATATATATATATATATATATACATATATATATATATATATATTTATTTATTTATTTATTTATAATTGTGAACCATCGGTGCAGTTCGAGCTAGAACCAAACCCAGATCTAATTGGGATTTGATTAGGAACATCCGTTCGGATTCGATTTAGAACCCACCAAAGTGTTGCGCCGGTGAAACCTATATTAATTGTCATCGGCATGGAAACATTGCCCATGACGCATCGGCATGGAAACCTTGTATTAAAGGCAACGAATGTATAAAACGAGATGTAGCTACTAAAATCTGTGGCATGGAATCTGAAAGAATTCCTCACTGTTACCCACAGCTTCACATACCATACACAAGATTCACATAAGAGACAAATAAAATGGACTAATAGAGGTACAATGTGCTATACATAAGAGATTCCTCGAGTACAAAGACATTTCCAGTGAATCCACCTGTTGGGATAGCCTCTAGAGGAACATTTGATAGCCTCTATAACCTGTGACATGCGATACATCAACACAGTCTCCCTAACCACAATCCTAAAAGAGTTCTTCCGCGAATTGCTCTAGGGAAATATTAATCAAACTGAACGGGCTTCTTACAAACCTTGAAGAAATTGGACTCCAATAAGATTCATAATTTCTTTGTGTCTATATCTCTTCTGTAACTTGAGTAAATCTGCCCTTCCCAATCATGTCACATCAAACGGTTAGACTTTGCAAACACCAATGTGATTGATATGCAGAGATCCTGAATATATTCATCTATAATCTTTTCCCAATGTTTGCAAACCTTCTCGCAACTCCAAAAATAACAGCCTTGGTCAACAGGCCATGGTCAAGAGTGCATGCAATGGCTACAGCACCACCAACTACCAGGAACTTGGGTATGCTACTGGTCCAGTTCTTCTGTTTCTCTGCTTCTACAACATTGCCCGATAAATCAGTGATGGTCTCAAATGATCTCAACTTGTCGGCATCAAATTTGGTGTTAATTTGTGCCATGAAAGCAAACCGAGACAATGGCTCATTGGACCTCCTGGCAAGTTGGTAAGCACACAGGCCAGGTTCGATCTTTCGAACACAACTCCACATCCCCTGCCGAACTCCCAGCTTTGCAATTTCCCATGGGATGCCCATATCCTCGTGGTGAAACAGAAGAACTTCGCAGGCAGTCATCCGGCCATCTCTTCTGGATTCAGCTGGATATGCAAAAGCATGAAGACATCCATTGGTTGTTTGAAGGGTAAAAGAAACTTGTAAGACAACAATTTGTTATCTACTTGTTGTAGGAGAAAAAAAAGAAGGAAATAAAAAAAGTATAGCTCTGCACCTGCACGAATGCACCAGCTGGAATAATACAAGTCAACCCGTCTTGGTTTGTTTCGCCTAGGCACAGCAGGGCGTGGCACTCCCTGAAAGATGTAAGAGATGACCAAATTTAAATGTCACTCTTTCACCTTAAAAGGAAATGTATGTTCCCATTTCAGTGGGCATAAGCACAGATTTGTAAAAGCTCAATTTTTATTAGCAAAGCCCACATCACACTGGTACTCACTCAAAATGCAGAAAATGAACAAGCATGATCCAGCAATTGTAAAATCACAAATACATATCTAAATACCCTGAAGGTGTTGAAGAAAGCAGTAGATCAATCTGCAAATAACAAAGGCTGTACCAGGAAAGATGGATAATAGCTTGTAAGCATAATTCCAAAAACTTAATGACTAAATATTCTCCTAAAACAGAAACCTTCTTCTTTCTTGGATAAAGCACAAGCAAGTTCTGTGCTAGTAATTCAACTCAGGCGATAAAGTAGGTGCTTCACTTCCTTCACTTCCCTCCACTTGCCTACTTTAATGACTAAATATTCAGCACCTACTTCACTTTCCTCTGTCAAATTCTGTTGCTTGCCCAATAAAGTAGGCAATAAAGCACAAACAAGCTCCATTCAGTTTTGTCCAATAAAGCATGGATATTAATCATCGAAATACCCATAAGTAGATACGTTTGATCTTCAAAAACAAAGGGGGCAAGATACAACCTAACAACCGTTAAAAGACAATAATAATATCACAAGCCACAGATCTTGACACTTAAAAGAGAGCTAGTTATCGATTGTAGTACAGAAACAAAAAACCTAACAAGCATTGTTAACCTTTTCATCGGAATAAAAGTTACTCCTGCAAGTAAAATGATCCAAATTTATAAGAGTTAAGATGCAATAAAACCTATCCATCTGTATATTTATTAAAGCTGATCTATGCTCAATACAGTCTCAATCATATTATACATTTAAAATCACAATGCTTTGGTGCTTTCAGAAAAAATATAATTTTAATATCCATTTTGATTTAGTGGTTAAGAACCAATTATTGATTGGTGGATTATCTGCAGTGCTTAGTCACTAGCACTGTGATGACCTCTAGTACCAGTCCCTTAAACTAAGATGACCCACAGCATGATTCACTTCCACTTTTCTGTACTTGAAATTTTACTTTGGCACACCAACACCATTGGCCCATTTTCCTTCTCCCTCTTACAGTTACATGTTTTTCTTTTCCTTGTTTGAAACAAGGATTCCTCTTGTTCTCATCGATGGGGCTTATAGTACTAGATGTGGCTTTCATGAAGTTGATTATAGCAAAACTCACCCTGCACAACATGGATCGTGTGCTTCTCTCTTCTCAATTCTACCCGGATTCAAGTCGGACGTAAAGAGCCATTGCAAAGACCTTGTTTCACTTAAAGAAAGGTTTTTGTCATTTCACAAGAAGAAGAAAGAGTTGAGATTATAAGTAACAATGAGCATACAACACATCAATCTTAGGTTTTTTTTTAACTCTCTATAAAAGATGTCACTATCTTACACATTGAAGTGTGACCCAATCATATGCCATCCTTCCATCAACGACATTCAGAAAAATAAAATCCTCACAAGAAGTTTCCACAAAGTACTTCTGTAGTGTCCCTAAACAAATTGATTTTTCAATAATTTTCCAAAAAATTAGATACCTTAATGAAGTAGCCATTATATATACTCATGTTTACTGGATTTTTCTAATTAAAGTTTCTTAAGGGGGGTTCTCTTTTCTTTTTTTTTTCTTCCCGTAGGTCTATAAGTTGTCACACCATTCTGATTCATCAATTGAAACAATTGCATCGTGTGTTTTCACATCCTTGTTGAAGTACCAGGTAGTCCATTTTATGATTCAAAATCGATTACGTGCAAAAAGCAAAGGCATTCAAAGATGATGAGATGCATTCCCATGACAAAGAACTCTCATATGCATACTTGTCAAAGTACCATGTAAGTTCATTTCATGCTTCAAAAATTAGTAATTGCAAGAAGCAATTCCATCTGGAGATGATAACATTCATCCGGAACAAAGAACTATTATGTGCATCCATACCTTTGTTATGCAGTAGTAAGTTCTTCCTGACTCCCATATGCGGCGACCAATAATATACTCCCTGTTACTACAAAAGAAAGGAAACTGCGGACAAGAAGAAAAACAATAAACAGACATGGCAAGCAGTAAAAGCAGTTCTTACAACTGTAAGAGAATCCATCGGTTCTCATACCTTGCGAACCCATTGAACTACCATCGTCCCTGTTGTCGGGCACTCCTCCAGTGTGGTATGCTCGAGGAGCATATCATCCCAGCCATTCTTGATCCGGAACTCATCGTCCCAGAAGAAGTCCCGCACGATTTCGGGCGTCACATCCTCATATAAGGTGCTGCTGCGGTACTGCGGTGGACCAGTCTGGCATGAACGCGACGAATTATGGCTCAGTTGCGCGTTATCACAAACCACTAAGCAACAATTTCATGAGTCGATCACATACGCAACTCAAATACATGTATGGTTCTAAATCCTACCTCGGGATCTCTCCGCCATGCTTGATATCTCATGTTAGGCAACGACTTGTCCATCATCTTGTGCCACTCCGGCCCCCCATCCGTCACCTCCACCAGCCGGAACAGGTGCTGCAAGTCCTCCTCGGTCACCGCCAGCTTCTCACTCCTCCTGCAAATCCCATAAACCGACTTGACCCGCGAACAAGGGAGAGGATTCACAGCACAACTACAAGTCAACGTGAAGACCCAATCTACCTTTCTTCGACCGCCTTCATTGACGGCGCCGCCGAATGGGGGCCAAGCGAAGGCGCAGACTCGGTCTTCACCGCGCCGCTCAGCCCGGCAGCCCACCCGGGCCGCCACGCCCACCCTAGCAGAAGCCCGGCGAAGACGGCGATCCAGAGGGGGGCCACAAAGGCCGCGAGCTCCACGGCAACATCTGCGACCGTGGGCCTCCGCAGGATCTCAACCAGGGCTTCCAGAATCAGCACCATGGCGCAGCAAAGGAGAATCGGATTCGGATAGGGATAGGGATTAGAGCGGAAGAAGAGGAGACGGAGAGGGAGAGCGAGACGGAGTGGTGGAGGAGAGCGAGATTAGGGGATGAGGAGAGAAGGCGTCTCGATTGGGATTAGCCCCGCGACTCACCACCACCGCGTGTTTTCTTAGCAGGGAGGATGGATAACAAATATGAGGCGAGTCGTCTTGACGATTCGCTAGTAAACGCGGATCCCAAATGGGTCGGTGAAAGACCAAATCGACCGCTTCGATAATATTGCGTTGCTAGTTTGGACTGCCTACCCACGTTTGCCTCCTCAGAAAAGGATTAATAGGACGGAGTAGAGTAGTCAAAGATTTTGACCGTGACCGATTTGGCATCCCTCCCTACTCCATGTTACCTGTTTATTATTTTCATTAACATCTTAGACTATGTCGGATATCAAAAATAAAATATTCAAGTGTCATACTTTGAGAGCTTAATTTTCAAATTAACTATCCACGATCGAAATAGAGACTTGAATACTCATTCGAAGATTAAGATGAACTTAAGTAACGTATTACACGATCGATCAAGACTAAGATGAGTAGGATTTTCGTGTAATCTTTTGAAAAATAGAGATTAAGAAAGGTTTAAAAAATAGAGATTTTTATTTTTTTATATAAATTATACATTAATCATCATACCTAAAGATGATTATTTAATTATGTTCAAAATATACTAACCACCGTAATATTTCCTTGGATGATAATATTTGAATATAATGACGAAAAAGTAAGCGGTGACCACAAATAATAACCGTACCGACATTGGACTAAATATTTTTACTATCGCACACTGCCTATATTGCATCACAACAATTGGACAGCCCACTCTGCACATATATTACAATAGTATATAATTGGGGACAAATTTATTGAGCGTGCCAAACGTGACCACTCTTCACATAAATAAATCTAGTCCGTGACCTTTGTTTGAAGTAGTACCATTCTGTCTAATATCTTATCATATCATATCATATCATATATTTATATATATATATAGAGGAAACAAGAGCTTGTAAATTATGTACGACTTGGGGGATTGCACCTAACGATGTCAAAAGATATGCTTTTCTATGAGGACGAGTTACGAGTCGTTCTTTCTCCGAAGGAGGGTCGCATTTGCACTTTTTTTTGCGTGTGGACTTGTTCGAGGTCAAGAGTTAGGAACTTGGCTTAACTTTTTGACTTCATCGAATCGTGGCTACTTGCATTGATTGAAGCGAAAAAGGGATTTGGATGACTCGATCAAGCTTGTTAACGAGTAAATCAGAATTTGTTTGTTTGAATATATGGGATTATAATTTAAAGGCAATCGAGATTTCATCTTGAGTTAGTCTATAAGTTAGATTTTTCTACACTTGTCCATTTTTTATGGTTTTCAAACTTATAAAATTCTGTCGAGAGAGTATTTCGATAATATCCCTCCAATGTTTAAGTTAATTAAGATTGTAAAATTTAGTTTATGCTTTGAATTGTATTCTAAAAAGTGTTCAACAGCATACTTGACTAGCCTCTTTATAGTGAACTTTTAGTATTGTTACTCTCATGATTAATGTCGATTTTGGGAAGCTATTGCTGAGAAACTTGATCATGACTTTGTCGCATCGAATCCGAGATGCAATAATGTTTAACCAATTCAATCTCATCGGTCATATATCAAATATATGACACTAAGATATCCATCACGTGGTGTTAAGGTGTCGACCATATGTCATCTACGTTCTAATCATACGAATCATTAGCTTTTGAATCACTATTGGTGAATCATTCTCTTTGTACGAAACCTAAAACACATTTCAATGACATGCACAGTTGAATGATTTAAAATATATTTTGATGACACACATAATCAGATCAATCTAACGTTCATTTTGATGATTGTGTCGCCCAATCATCCTAAAGTTTATTTTGATAATAGATATAGCTTAATCAGCCTAAAACGAATCTCAATGGCATACACGATCATATCAATGTAAAGTACAAATCGACGTAGAGTATATTTTGACGACATGCATAGCCAAGATGGTCAAACGCACTAAATAACTTATGATTCGATTTAGTATCGATTGTTTAACAAGAGTCACTTCCTGACTTGACCTCATCAAACTCTACCATGTGATAAGAATGTGACGATACCTTAACACCACATTGTCAACAACTTAGCATCATATAACTGACACCTTGGTACCATGTGATTAGTATCTCATTACCACGTGATGAGTATGTGGTTGACATCTCGGCATAAAACTAAATTAGTTAGATCTCACTATATTCTGGATTCGATATGACCTAATCATTGACGTTAATCAAAAGAGTAATGATATTAAGAGCCCACTGTAAAAAGCTCACAATACAGCTCAAAGCATAGGACCAACCTTTCGACCCCACAGCTTAGGCATCGTCGAAGATGACGATAACACTGGTTTATAGGTTAATATTGGAATCATCAGAGTGTGGTGATAGCTGAAACAAATCTAAATTAAGTTGTGACTGCACAACTTAAATCTCGATCGGCTCCAAATCATCATTAGCTTGGTCAATTAAGTTGTGACTGCACACCTACAACTTGATTTCCATTGGTTAACGAGTTTATAGTCGATCGATAACTGCATGTCACGTTTGGAACTTTAGTCATTATTTTCTCAGCATTAGATTCCTCCTTGAGGCGTGTAATATATTATTTAGAATAACGTATGTTAGTATGACGGAGTATCGGAAACACAGGCTAGAATTTGTGTTGGGACAATGTGTTTGTGAGAATGCATGACAACAATTTCATACGGTAAGCTCTGCTTTATATAGCTTTCTTTTTTTGATCGCATGACTTGGCTCGAATAGAGTCACAGTACAGCTTTGTCTGTTTGCTCCATGACATGTTCCGAGTGGAACCACAAAATGGTAC